GAGAAGCTGAGACTTCCAAAGGGAGGTGCTGTGGATGTGTCTAGATGTCCCCTCAGTCTCATGAGGGCACAGGTGGAGCTCTTTCAGAGGGGCTAGATCTAGAGTGTGTAACCCCAGGATCAATATGATGCAATGTCAGGCTCAACGGCACTTCAACTAAAGGTGTGAGTAGTGCCCACCCTGAGTACCCTGGCTAAGTTAGAAAGCATAGAAGGGGCTGTGGTCAGTCTGCCCGCCATGAAGCCATGAACTGCTCTCTGCGACCTGTCTGCCACGCCACTCTACATTGGAGCCAGCTGACTACAGACTGAAACCTCTACAAACTGAGCTATGTGAGCCTTCTCTCCTTTAACTGAGTGATGGATATCTTGTCCCAGCAAAGAGAAAACTAACACAGGAGGCCAGTCAGGTGAACTCCCTCTGCAAGCAATGTTCACAGGCTCAGGAGAAGCTCTAGCAGGGACCCACACGGGAACTGAAGGAAAAGCCTGGTGGAACAGTGCAGGGAAGCAGACCTGGGAACAATCTGGTTATCTCAAGAAGGAGCTCTCTGAAGGTTCCAAGCCTGCCAATGAGGACAGGCACAATGTGAAACAAGACACTGCCTCACACTGTACAGAGACATGCAGTCTACTAAGTAGATCCTTTATCTGTACCACAGTCAAAAAGGCAGGGACACGCTATGCTGGGCGTGGTGGTGCACGCCTGTAATCTCAGCATTTTAAGGCTAAGACAGGAGGATTTTTTGGTAACTTTGGGCCAGCCTGAGCTACACAGGAGTTCAAGGTCAGGCCAGACTACCCACCAATGATATAGCTCAAATGCACAGAGCCTGCCTGACAAGCCTAAGGTCCTGGGTTCAATCCCAATACCAAAACAAACAAAAAACAAACAAAAACACCACTACCACTTGTTTTAAGATTTTACAAAATACCAAAAACTGCAAAGAAACATCCCTGAAATAAAAAAATTGCATTTCTGAGGCAGTTGGTACTCTGATGCAGGTTGGGGAGATAGCTTGGCAGTCTAAGTGCATGCCTGGTACTCTGATGCTTATTAAAAATACCTCAAAAACTGGGCATGGTCGCAAATGCCTGTAATCTGAGCTTGGGAGGCTGAGACAAGAGGATAACAAGTTCTTTTTTTTCTTTCTTTTTTTTTGGACTGGTATTTTATAAGTTTGATAATAGTCCCCCAGATAGGGGCCGGGGAGATGGCTCAGTGGAATAGGTGCTTCCCTGGCAAGCACAAGGGCCTGAGTTCAATCCCCAGTTCCACCAAAAAAAAAAAAAAAAGAAAAAAAAAAAGTCCCCCAGAGAATCACATAGAAAAAGAGAGGGCAGGACATCTGTCCACACACTGAAGACCAGGGAATCGAGCTATGATCTTGAATTCCACACTATGCTGCCTAGATCCATCTTAAGACCTAACTAGAGCTCCTAACACTGCCTTCCACAACCCACAAGTCCAAGTGGAAGCCCAGAGGCCTGGACAACACCTCCTGCAGGCCTCTTTCATGGATGTGCACTGGATAGGCCCAAAGGTCAGTGGTACAAGAGAGCCCATGTCAGCACGATGAAGGATCTGTGCTAGCATGCTAAGGGATGTGCACTGCAGCCAGGAAGTGACCCTCAAAAGTAAAAATCACAGTTCCTGGAAAAGGACCACAGCTATCCTAAGCAACAGTGAGGTCCCAAGCTCCTCTGAGGATGAGGAAAGCTGCCTTCCCATCAGGAAAGTCAATGGAACAAGCTCTTTTAGGAGACTGAGCAGTGCACCCTCTTCTCCAGAGCCAGGAAGCAACGCTCAAAGTGAGGACCAGAGCTCCCTCAATGTGAGCCTAGCTGTTCACAGTAACAATAAGATCCAAAGATCTCTTTTGACAATGAGACCAGTGGAGTTCATCAAGAAAGCCAGCAGGACAAGTTCCTCCAGCATCTCCTTAGGGCTTCTCACAGCACACAGCAGCTTCCCTCACAGCTTTGTTGTTGTTTTTATCTTTTTCTTTGTTGAGAGCAGGCTTCCCTGCACAATTCAGGCTGGCTTTGAACTCACAACAATCCTCCTGCCTCTAGCCTCCCTGGTGCTGGGATTGTAGGCATGCTCCACCATGCCCTGCAGGATCATCAAGTTCAAGACCACTTTGAGCACCATAGTTCAAGGCCAGCCTGAACCACTGAACAAAGCCTTGGCTCAAAAACCAAATAAAAACACTTCATAATGGCAGCATATTCTTCAAGGTGGATTACAAACTGATTTTACTTGGCAAACATCTGAGCCCCTACACAAAACCCCTGAGCAAGGTGTTGTGGTACAGTACTCAACAGGCATGACAACCAGAGCTTAATAGAAACAATTTATAATGGAACATGATACTGTGTGTGCATTCTATGCTAGAGCCACAAGCAGCATGAATGACCACTTGAGCAGAGGCTGGCAGAGCCAGTGCGCACTCAGGGGAGAACCCTTGCAGTCACAGGGAGGAGCATGAGGCAGAGTTCAGAGCACCAAGCCAGCCAGAGGAACCTGGGATGCTAACCCTAAAAGCACTGATCCATCATTCTGCAGGGGTTTCAGTGAGGACGAAGGACCCAACACTCTCTTCACTGTCACCCCAAAGCTTCCTGGGGAACAAATGTCCCCATTCTCCTCACTTCACAAATGACCACATGGGCTCAGATGCCACTGGCTCCTCTGTCAAATGCCACCAACACAGGACAGAGCTCAGGCTCAGTTCTTTTCTATGTAATGCCAAATAAAGATCAATCTCACTTCTTTTGAAAATAAAGCACAGAGCAAGTTATATTACCACCAGAGAAGTGCTAACAATTCACTTTCTTCAACATTTGCAGCTTATGTAACAAACTATCCTACAATAATATATTTGCCTCCTGTTGTCAGGTTAAAGACCTGTACTTTGGGATGGTGAGATAGCTCAGTGGCATAAGTGCCTGCGTGGCAAGCACAAGGTCCCAAGTTTGATCCTCCAGTACCACAAAAAAAAGACTTGTACTTGTTCTCCAAAACAAAACACTGTACTTTTTTTTTTCTTTTTGCGCGGCACTGAGGATTGAACTCAGGCCCTTGTGCTTGCCAGGCAAATGCTTATTCTACTGAGCCATCTCCCCGGCCCCTAAAGCACTGCACTTCTGATTCACTTTCTAAGCTGCAGCATGGTGGTATATGTGAGTAGTCTCCAGGGCTCAGGAGACTGAGGCAAGAAGACTGCAGAATATTTGAGAACACAGAGTCAGACCCTGCTGCAAGACCCAAGCCCCCCCAAACAACTTTCATTTCTACAAGACTACACCATATTTAAGAGCAACGAAAAAACAAAAAGTAATGTTTGCTTTTCCCTTTACTATTCCAGTGGTCAAATGGCCATTTCCTCAGTTAAACCGATTCAGAGTTTTGGTGTTTTTTTTTTTTTAATTAACCAGTAAAAGAGTTTTTAAGGTTTTTTTTTTGGGGGGGGGGTGAAACAGGATCTTACTAACTAGTTCAGGCCTGCCTTGAATTCATTATGTAACCCAGGCTGGACTCAAACTGAGGGCCATCTTCCTGCCTCAGCCTCTCAAGTGTTGGGATTACAGGCGTATGCTCCTACTCAGGGCTGATTAAAAGAATTACAGCCGGGCATGGTGGCCCACACCTGTGACCCCAGCACTCAGGAGGCTGAGGCAGGAGTGTCACTGCAACTTCAAGGCCACCCTGGACTACGATGGGGTAAACTTTTTCAATTACTGAAAAACCACTATTTATCAAGCATGACAGGTGAATGTAGGATAAGTGGTTTTTGTTTTTCCAATTCGGCCTCACTCATTCTGTACCCTATGCTGGCCTGGAACTGACTTTGTAGCCCAGGCGATCCTTCTGCCTCAGCCTTCCAAGTGCAGGCATTATAGGCGTGCACCACCTGTATTTTTTGATTTTTTTTTTTTTTTTAGGTTTTCTGGAGACAAGGTCTCACTAAATTAACCAGGCTGGGCTCAGACTTGCCATCCTCCTGCCTTATCTTCCCAGGTAGGTGGGATCACATGAAACACATTAATTTCCAAGGAGCCCAGTCTATAGAAACTCGAAACAATTTCAGAAGTTATTTTATTTTTTTTTAAATTTTTATTTATTTATGTTTATTTATGTGTGTGTGTGTGTGTGTGTGTGTGTGTGTCCAGCACAGCCCACCAGGGGGCGGGGCTGGCTGGCATGTGGTGCTGGGGGATCGAACCGTGGTCCCTGTGCTTTGCCAAGCTTGTTCTAAGTAGGTGCTTTAGACCACTGAGCCATCTCACCAGCCCCAGAAGTTATTTTAGACAGGAAGAAATGAAGTAAAGATCCCACAACCTATTAAAGAATGGTTCAGTCCAAAATAACTTATGGGTGCATGTTCGACCCTCAAGATGCAGTGATAGGCACGCCTGTGACGCCAGCACCTGGAAGGCTGAGGCAGGAGGACCACTGCGAGTTCACGACCAGCCTGGGTTACAAAGTGAGCTCAAGGGCAGAGGGAACTGCATAGCAAGACTCTCAAAAGACAAAAAAAAAGGATGCTGTGATATTTTTCTTCCTCCAAACTTGGAGTCTACGAAACGATCAGTGTTCTGAACGGGTCTGACGGTGCACAGAATTCCAGCTTGGGGTTTTTACTGGATAACTGCCTTTATTCCCAGCGTCACCTATTATTATGCTTCTCCCCTCTTCCTCCTCTACCTTCTTCCGTTTTTTAAACAAGCAAAACCCCTAAAGTGTAAAACCCATTCTTAGGAACTTGGGCGGTGAGGCAAAGCAAGCAACCCCAGTAACGATGGCCAAAACCCACATTTAGCTAAATGACCCCCGAAGAGGCGCGTATCCACCTCCCCACTTATCTCCGTCCTCTTCTTTCTACTAGCTTAAGTCTTTAAAGCTTGCGTACAGAAAATACTGAGAAAGAGGTGGCGAAAAAGAAATGAATCCGGGTTCTGTCGGTTCAGGGGTCTCCTCAGCTCCCCAGAGCTCACCAGCCCTGTCATCTACGCAGCGCACGCTGCGGGCCACATTCGAGGGCGACAGGATTCCAGAAGGGGACTCGCTCTCCACGCAGCAGCCGGGAGCCGCAGGCGCTCGGGGGCGGGAACACCCGGGGCAGCCGGGCCGCGCAGGGGACCCAGGGCCGACGCCGGTGACTTTGGGGCCTGTCACTCCGGCTCCAGGCTGTAACCTTCGCCAAACCT